GCAGGGTGGGTTTCACCTCCTTTCCTTCCTCTCAGGAGGCCTGTCTGCGGCAGCTCCTAATTGTATTTTACTTGACTATAAATCTTTTTGTTAAATGTAATTGAACAGTGGGCCTTTGAATCATTACATTAACCCACATACGCTCCAGGGTGGTGATGGGAACCTCCCGGTGCCTCCCTCCCGGTGGAACAGGACCGGCTCTGACTGGAGCCTCGGCTGGGCCTGTGTGCGTCACCCTGGTCCTTCTGCCCCAGATGGTGCCCCCTCGCCCCCTACGGCAGGATTGCCGCAGAGAGCAGGGCCTGGGCCTGGAAGTGGGGCCTGCAGTGCGCCCCTTCCTCATTCCGTCCTGGCCCCTGGCTCCAAGTTGTCGGAAAGAAAGGGGAAAAGGGCTACACGGACGCCCTGCACTCTCCTGATGACCACGCCTCTCCCCACCAGGCAGGGGAAACTGAGGCTCAGAGAGGTGGTGTGATACAGGTGGTGAGAGGGACGATTAATTTAAAGGGCCAAGGGCCGGGGATTTAGCTCAGCGGTTCCGCCACCTGGCTCACAGGTCCCAAGTTCGATCCCGGTACCAAAAAATGAACAAATAAATAAATAATAAAGGGCCCAGAGTCACCAGGGTTGGTGGAGCAGGCCTGTCCTTCCAGCACTCGGGAGGCCGAGGCAGGAGGATTGCTGTGAGTTCGAGGCCAGGCTGAACTACATAGTGAGACCCTGTCTCAGAAAGTCAAAACAGGAAAGGCCAGGGTCTCAGAACCGAAGTTCTAGGGGACGGACCCAGGGCTGCCCTTGCTGTCCCTCCGCCTTCCCAACCCCTGTACCTCAGATACTGTCGTTTCCCAGCCCCCAACCCTGGTATCACCCTTGATTTACACCCTGCACCCAGTTCATGAGCGAATCCACATGCTTTACCTTCAGAATAAACCCAGGACCTGAAGGCTTATCACCACCCCACTGCTACGTGTCTCTGTGCCCTTGTCCTGGGTGATCACAGTCCCCGCAGTCGGTCCTCCCAGTGGTTTTTTTTTTTTTTTTTTTTTGTACCAGGGATCAAACTTGGGACCTTTCGCTGTGAGACAGGTGACAGCACCACTGAGCTACATCCCTGGCCTGAGCTTTTTCATTTTTAATAACAGCTTTTGCCAGATGTGGTGGTGCCTGACTGTAACCTTAGCGCTTGGAAGGCTGAGGCAGGAGAATCACCACAAGTTCAAGTTCAGCTTGGGTACAGAGCAAGACCTTGACCCAAAAAAACAAGCAAACAAGCAAAACCAAAAGACAGCTTTATTGACATATAAAACCCAGCCATTTGAAGTCTGCACAGCAGAGGCTTTGGTATATTTCCAGACATGGTGCCATCATTGTAATCAGATTGAACATTTTCACTGCCTAGATAAGAAACTGTGTCTGTTATCAGTCACTCGGGATCTCCTCTCCTTTCCAGAACGCTCAGGCCAAGGTAATCAGAGTGCTTTTCAAATATTAAGTCACAGCCAAGCATGGTAGTGCATATCTGTAATCCTAGCACTCAGGAGGCTGAGGCAGGAGGATCGCCAGCCTGGGCTACCTAGCAAGACTCTGCCTCAAACAAAAGAAACTCAACTATTAAGTTAGATGAGATCACTGCCCGTATCAGAACTCGGAGCCCTTGGGGTATTTTTTCATTCCCAAACAGTTGGGGTTTTTGTTTTTTTGTTTTGCTTTTTTGTTTGTTTGTGACAAGGTCTTGCTACGTAGTTCAGGCTGTCCTCAAACTTGGGGCAACTCTCCTGCCTCAGCCTCCTGATTACTGGGATGACAATCGTCTGTCACCACTCCTGGCTGTAGTTTTAATTTTGAGACAGTCTCAGTTACGCAGGCTGTCCTTGAACTTGAGACTGCGCCTGGCTGGGCCATTGCCCATTTAAGTAGGTGATGAGGGAAGGCCTTGTTTAAAAGGGAAGCATCTGAAAGCCATCTCAAATATAACAATAACAAAGAGCTAGGGGTGAAGCTCAACGGTGAGCTCTAGGCTCTGCATCCAGCCCACAGCACTGAGGGTAAAGCCCACCTCTCTGCTCTGGTCTGGCCACCTCTCCATGAATTCTGCACAGCACTTGCTCTCTTCAAGTGTAACCCTAATTGTGATGCATGGTGTCTATCGGCCCAGCTAGAACAGAGGGAAAATACTCGGCTGGGGGGGGGCGGAGACCCAGCTCCTTCCTGGCCTGCCTGGGGCTGGAGCTCCACCCTGCTGGGGCCGCCCCTGCAGGGGGTGGGCGTGGGTTCTCTGAAGAGCCCTCTGCTTTTCAGCCTGAAGTCCTTTTTTTTTTTTTTTTTTTTTGAGACAGGGTCTCACTATGTAGTTCAGGCTGTCCTCAAACTTGTAGAGATGCTCCTGCCTCAGCTTCCCAAGTGCTGGGATCACAGGCGTTTGATGCCACGCCAGCCAAATCAGAAGTTCTTTTCCTCAAGGCACCTTTTCTAAAATGTGGATTCCTCCCCAAGTTCTGTCCATCAATCAAGGTGACCTTGGGCTGACTGACATGGTGCTGAAGAATTTTACCAAAATTCGAAGGTCTTTCCCTCTTAATGCAGAGAACTCTGGGTCTGCTTGGCAGGCTGTGCCCACCAACCTGTTGCTTCCTTCTGCAGGATGGGGGGCAGGAGGCGGATGGGCCAGGAGCCAGACCTCCCGTCCGGGGACACAGCAAAGCAGGGCAGCACACGGAACACCCAGGTCCCTGTGCACCACCCAGAGGGCAGGAGCTCTTCCTCTTCCTTTTTTGCTGGCGTTACTGGGGATCAAACCTGGAGCCTTTGGACTGAGCTACATCCTCAACTGGCTCACTTCTTTTTTTTTTTTTTTTTTTTTT